GTGTGCACCTCTACTTCACTGGTGGCAGAAGCATCTCTGATTTAAGAGTTGATACAACAACAGTTTATTCGCAACCCAAGAGATCTCAGGAGAGAGTGTGGACTAATTCTGTCAGGTCCCTAATCTGGTCTTAAATGTTAGCAGGTATAATTTCGAATGAGATTTTCTCTTCAATAGATTTAAGTGCAGATTGTGAGACATCTGATTGCAGATGCAAGTCTTAATACACAGGCAGCCAGGTTTCTGACTGCTGCTATTTCTATTGGCAATTTTGTTAGGGATAGTAAAGAAAGAAATGTGCAATCCTGCTCTTCTATTTAAAAAATGGCTTTCTGAAAACAAACAGAACTCCTTGGAACTGGACACCCTAGTTCTCAGCCTCTCTAAAAAAATTTAAAAGTGTGGATGTTTGTTAGTACAGTGCAGCAATAGCTTTTCTTTAAAAATATACTACTACTGTTTTTTTCTAAGTAGTTATGCGGCTTTGTGCGATTATATCTAACAATGAATTTAGGATTATTGATAGAAATCAAGTTATCCACTGTCTTGCAAGGGTGACTTCTTTAATTTTGTATTTACTACTTCAGTGAAGGGAATAAGAGCTTTATGTTTCTTTCCCCACATAAAATATTTATTGGCAAATATCATGCTGCATAAATCAAAGCGCTTTGATTTCTTTCTGGGCAGTCTCCTTTCTTTCAGCAGTAATGCTTAGACTCTCAGTAAACACTCTCAGTAGTTTGCATGTCTCATTTGGAGAAATACTTGTCTTTGAGCATAGACATGAAGGTCCCAAGGCTACACAAAGGATGCGGTTTAAGGGAATGTTTCATTTTAAGCCAGTTTAAAAGCAGAATTGACTGATAGTTGTTGTCCTTCAGGTGGGACAGGAAAATTCTCATCTCTAGTGGCTCAAAGTAGTTCAAAGTTTACAGTTACTATCCCGGGAGACTTCCTAGACAGAAAGGGAGATTTTATAATCTTGTCTCAAATACATAACAGACTGTCTTTGCATGTTCCTAGGAGCAGAACAACAACAGAACAGGCTTTAGAAACTCCTTCTCCCTTTATAAGTGGGTCTGGAAAATAACCTGAGCTGCCAGTAAGAGCAATTTTGGGATCAAGCTGCTGTCCTCTAAACCCAATGTCACTAAATAATCACTTACTGCTTTTAATGTATCAATGACTTATGCACTGGAGGATTTTTTATTCCTGGCCTTCTCCATCTTCCTGCCATTTATCTGCGAGGAGCTGCAGCCAAGCTAACGGCAACCCTGGTGTTTCAGGGATTAATTCCCAGAAAGAAGTCAGAGACGAATGATCAGCTGGGAGCTGATTAAATGCATCTGTACTCAGGTCTGTGATACTCCCAGTTGGGTGAAAACCACATCAGGCTCTACTGAAATAAAGCTAAGAAGAGGGGTTCCAGCCAAAAATTACAGCCATGTCTGATACTTTAAGTGGTGTTTTTTGTTAGTTTAGACCTCATCCTGCTGCCAGCTGTGAAAGGCAGCAACAGACTGCTGCTAATAGGTAGCAGTTTGGATCCAACTCTAAATCCTTTTAGTGAAATCCTGCAGGAGGTTGGTGATTTTGCAGTCTAACCTCAGCTTCTGGGAACTTTTCTCAGCTCTTATTCCACATGACAAACACCCCTTCATTAATCTGTGTGTATGTAGATGTTACAACTAACAGTCATAAGTACTGGGAGGAATGGAAAATATATAGCAAGAAAAATTTTATCTCTCTCCTCTATTACAATTTTTTTCTTGAACATTTAAACATATCTTTCAATTAAAAAGTCTTTTTTATTTATTAAATAATAACTAATTTGCATTAAAGAAATTACTTTATTCATTTTTTTTTAGATCCAGCACAAGTTGTCATTTTCTTATTTGTATTTACTGTTCAAAAAGATTTACTGAACATTTTTGTGAACAAATTCTTTGTTGGTAATGCAACCACAAACAATTTGGTGTGAATATTAATTAATTAAGCAATTAATTATAATAGAAATTCACTGTCCAGATTCCTTTGATGATTTTTCAGGCAATTAGTGAAAATTTGAGCTGTCTCTACTGAACTTTTTCATCAGACAACTGCAGCTTTAGGGATGCTTTTTCTGTATTGTGTTGTTATAAATTGGAGCTGTACTCCTCTGCAATTTCCTGTACTGTTCATGGGTTGGAATCCTAGTGCCACTGAAGTTAGTGGGAAATTTGCTATAATTTATAATGGGACTTGGTTTTTAAATCCACTGTTTCAGCAAACACACAAATCATCTATGGCACTGGAGAAAGGGGAGCGTATGAGGCAACAACACGCTTGGAGTTTTAGTGTTAAAATAGTGAGAATAAATATCCAGATGAAATATTTGGCAATATCACCCAACTCTAATTTGCACATTTTAAAGCTTGATCCTTTGTGTCCCCTTATGTTCTTTGTTCATTTGAGTCCCTGGATAAAGTGTATGGAAACTCAGAGGATATCTTATGTCATCACTATTTGTGTTAATGGCTTAGGAAACCCACAATCCAATTAGTTAAAATAAACAACCCAGTGTAATAGGAGCATAAATCAACGAAGACTTCATTACTGAAATCTTAATGTGTAATCCATCCACCTACAGAGGAAAGAGATACTGAGAGGCAGCAAGACAAAACCAGGGGACAGTCTGATTTAGTCTAGGCTGATATTTAAAAATGTGCTGAGAACAGATACTCTTCCTGGAGTCAGCAAATTGGTGGTGAATACTCATCACCCCTGACAGTTTGCCCTGAGTGTTAAGTCCTTATGCCAAAAAATGCCAAGGGACTCCTAGTAAAAGGGCTCTGATCACTCTTCATTTCCTCTGAATTTAGTGTAAGAGTTGAGAGAGACAGCTCAGGATTATGGACTGATAAATGAAGGAAGAAATTAGCCAGATGAATGTAAACCAGATATGCCACCTAAGAGGAATGGTCTTCAGGACAGCTTTGACCCTTCTATAGGCTTTCATCTGTTTGGTCCTGTGTCTCCTCCTTTAAAATGAGAATAGCTATTCTTGGTGGGCCCAAGGTTACTGGACTTCATTAAAGTCACATATTCTGTTTGTCTTGGTTTAGGAGAACCAGAAATCCCATCATATCGAGCTTTTCAATTTCAACTTGGCTCATAAAAAGGCTTAATTTTTATGTACTCTTCAGAAGGAAGGTAGGGCTCACAGACCATCCTCCCTAAATCCTGATTTCAGAATCAATCCTCTTTCTGTTTGCTCCAATCTCTCATCCTAGTCTGACTCTCTTTTCCTTCTACCCCTTATGTAGATCACTTCTTATTCTTTCATCTCATTGCTGTGAAAATACCCTCATTCCTGTTGCACTTTTATCCCAGCATGAAACATGCACTAGGCAATTCGCATTTAGTAGCCCTGACAATCAACCAAAACCAGCAGAAAGGGCATTCTAATTTTCAGTGATTTGAGGTTTTGTTTGTGAATAATTATGGTAAAAAAAATCTAAGAATATGTAAAGTTAAGGATATAGAAGTTAAGAAATTTTAGTACTAGACATTGCATGGAAAAGAAAGCACATGCAATTATCCAACACACGGCAAGATGTGGTTGAAGTGAGCTGCCAACCATCCCATGGTAATTCTGTGTCAGAGACAGAAACTGGATTCTCCTGGCTGACCACTGCCTGCTCTAACCATGAGCACTCACCTTTCTTCAGCTGCATTCCCATGTCTCACTCAATATACAGCTTTCCTCACTACAGCAAAGGAGGGTATGACATGCAATGACATAATTAGCTATGCAACCCTCAAAACCATTTCAGCATGTGCAATGACTTTAGCAGGGATCCCCGGAAGGAAACTGTCCATTTGCAATAGTTATATCCATTATTACAGATCGGAACTAGAGAGATTTTCCTAATACTCTTTCTGCATTTTATTTCCAATAGATGGTACTTCTCAAATCCTTGCCTTTAATACTCAGTTGTATAATGTCAAAAATGTCAGAGAAAGGTTGAGTCTTTCTGATAAAATATGTCTAGAATATGTACTAGCAAGTTATATTTCTGAAGTACTTCAACACTGAGGAATATAAAAGTCATATATTTGTAAGGTATTACCCCATTGTAATAATTCAATAGGAGATAAAGTGATTCCATTATAGTTTATGAAAAACATCTGAGGTTCTTCAGGATCAAGGCCACACAAATGAAAGTTTTTTTATGATTATTATACAGGAAATTTGTATGGTATTGTATTTGTATAGAAATTAAGAAATCCAGAACTGAACCCAAATCTCTCATTCAGCAACACAGACCGGAGATTAATTCTTCAGTCTCGGCAGTGAAATCTGTTTGGTTGGAGGAGGATTCAAGTAGAGGCCTACGGTACCAAAAAAATAGACAGTACATGTCATGTGTTTTCTTCTCCTCGAGTACAGATGTTTATCTCATTTCCTCTAGCGCAAAATTTTTAATTTATTTAAAGCAGAATGTGTGCTTTCAGGGTGTGGTACTCAGTCTTGTTTCAAGGTAAATTTAGGACATCTTTCTGTTCCCCCCATTCCAGACTTCCTTGTGGTTGCACCTGTGAGGCTGCAAAGATGAGAGACTTTTATTATAAATGAGATTAACAGTGCCGTGGAGCAGGGAGGACAGGGTACTCCGCAGAAGGGTGTCAAGACCCGAGGGTGACAGCAGGGCAGGCAGAGGCAGGGGCCTCATGGCAAGAGCACAGTCTCACACAACCTGAGCGAGGCAAGCGGAGCGGGTCTGGTGATGGTTCCATGTTGAGCCTAAAGCCCAGATAAGTCCACAGTAATGAGGCAGGTCTGGGGCCCAGCCAGTCAAGGCAGTGAGTCAGGGTATGAATCAACAGGGTACATGGCAAGGGACTGAGAGACTGAGTTTGAGAGCCTCATCACGCCACCCTGTGCAGTACAAAGTCCTTTGCAGGAAAGATCCTACAGTGTTCTGAGTTTACCTTTGAAATCTGTGTTTCCATTTCAGAGCTCACATGACAAGGATGTCATCCTGAATATTCTTGGTGTTCTCAGTGACCTGCTCTCTCTGGGTAAGGAAACATGGCTCTGGAGCAAGGCCTGTCGGCCCACTGCAGGCCGGGGATCCTAGCATAGGGCAGGGTAATCATAACTACATGAACTCAGCCTCTGCATGGTGGGAATACATGCATTATAGCTATAGTTCTGCGGTCCTTACTACTATGTTTGGAAGCGCAGGCATTTTATTTGGTTAAAGAAAAAAAAAAGTCTTAATTTTGGGGGGATAAAAGGCACCCATGGGTTTTATGATATCTCATAATTCCTGCCAGTCAAACACTGGAAACTTTCAATAAGGCCACAGGAGGGAGTGAGCTTTCAGGAGGGACAGGAACCTGGCTTTGCCTGTCAGGGGGTCTCTGATGGAGATGCACATCCCCGAAAGGCACCTCCACCTCATGGTGGCAGGCATGTCCTGCATGTGTCCGAGCCACGTGAAGAAAAAACAACTTGGCAAAAGAACTGAAAGAGAATTACTTCTCTCTCCTGCTCTACCTCAAAAATGTCATTTGTTAAGCAATTTTCAAGCAGACCGAGTTGCTAGGCGGCAGGGGACTGCATCTGCGAGTGCTGGCAGCCTCCTGCATCCCCACTGCTCCACCCCGCCAGAGATGTGCTCTGTCCAGCTGAGCCTTTTTTTTGAAGTTGTGTGGCAAAGTTCTGCAATGAGATGGCAGGATTCATGACACGGATGAGAGAAGGCACCATCTCCCCCCTGGAAACTCCACGGGCTCAGTGTGCAGCACCAAAATGTGGAGACCTGAGCAACTCACAGCTGGCCCGAGCAGCCTGGGGATCAGTATTTGTTGACACAGTAGGACTCACAGGATTAGCATGTGGCTTCTTTGGAGACCCAGGTTTGTTTGAAAGCCCTCTCCAAAGCTTCCCTAGGATTCCTCTTCATTTGGTAGAAGCGTGTTAGAACTTTATTCCTCTGCTTATTTAATTTTCAGTATCTAAGAAAAGATCACTGAGCTTTTGCCTCCTTTGAAATCCGCTGGTGTCTCTGCTTATTCTTCTCTGCTGCATTTCAATGTGCAATGAAAAGATCTCGCAGGACACGGGTTCATAAGGAAACAAAGCCAGAGCAAGAGGAAGCAGAGCACATGGTTGTGTCCCCAATCCAGGGACACTTGAGAGCCATGGTAAAAGCTGCAAACACCTTAGGTTTGTAGTGACCTGGTGAGGGGCCGCTCACACCAAGCACCGCTAAGTGCAGGCACCTGGGAGGGTTTGCTCCAGCCATGTCTTGCCTTGCAGCTGCCAAGCAAGCGCTCAGCAGTGCTCCTCTTCTTGCTCCCTTTCCCTCAGGGACCGACCGGAGAATCGACTACTTGATCAGCAAGGGGGGCAGCGAGGCCCTGCTGCAGGCCCTGGCCGCCGCGGCCCGCGCTGAGCCGCCCGACGACGACGCGCGGCGCGCCCTGCCCTTGGGCCCGGTGGGCCGCGAGAGGTAACGGCCATAACGGGCAGCCCCAGCACTAAATACCCACCTCGGGGAGGAGACCCCCTCCCAAGACACTGTGGGTCCTGTTGGGATTTTGGGACACCAGGCTTTAGGGAGGAGCAAACGCCCCTAGAGAGGCTCCTTCCGCCAGCCCTGTTTGTGTCCTGCCTTGTGCTGGCCTCCTGGCTTTGAGCTTCCCCTGATGGAAACTTCGTTTTGCTTTCCCTTAAGCTGAAAAATCTGATTTTTGTATATGGAGAGCCTTGCACAAGGTAAATACCATATATTCTCGGCACCTTAGTGTATCCTGAGAATATTACTGATCTAACTCACTGGAATGCTTTAATGCCTTTGTAATGAGACCCTTATTTTTATATATAATATTTGCTGCAAATATGTTTATCAGCCCTGCTGTAGAGAACTGTTTTTTTTTTTTTTTTCTCAGATAGGAAGTTTGGACTGAAAGTGCAAAGATTGGAAGCAACGGATGTAATATTGAGTCTGACAAGAAAAAACCTTGGCCATTACCTGAACCTCACACACTGCCTCTGGGTGCTGCGGGTCTGTGCTTCCAGTGGTGAGTGCCTGGACTTTCCTCCTTTCCTCAAGGTGGCATCTGCCAGAGCTCTTTTACAGTCATTTTAGTGCAAGGAAAAGTAATTCCTGTTTAATAGTTATGACTCTGTGCACTATTAATATACAGAGTTAGGCACAAAAGACCTAGACTGGCTTTAGAAATTGCTGTTCCTGAAGGTACCTTGCACTTGAAGGCTGTACAGTATCTCCTATCTCTAGACTGTGAAAATACAAATGCTATAGTGAAAAATATCTGTAGTAATGATCTCTTATTTCAGAATGTTTGCAGACTATAGTCGGCTCTGAGACCTAAGCGTCTAAGGTCTGCGTGCAGTTCCTATTACCATAATAGCCACTGTCTCACAGTTGTTGATTGTATTGATTCTTGCGGCAGCTAGAGGGAAATACAGGCAGAGAAGCAGAGGTAGATAAAAATCATTGACAAATTCAAAGTCCCTCAGAAGTACCAATCAGAGATGGGAATTTAATGCCTCATCTTCTCACCTCCTATGCCCTCTCCCTGTTCTTCCTAATTGGCTATGCCCTTCTATTAAATGACTCAAGCAATGGAATTTCCAGTATTCGCTCAAAGGATCATTGCACATTCATGCAGGATTTCCCTATAATAGGGGAGTTTATCAGCACACATTTGCTCACTAACTATTCCCTCTCCCTCCCTGCTGCTCTCAGCTAGCAGATAGCTTTTGCCAGCCATCCTGCCTGTAGCCTGCTATATGCATCCTAAGATTTAGCATTCCTGGCTCTCAGCCCTGCAGGTCCTTCCTATTTGTACAGGAGCTAGTGTCAGACTATGGGACTTCTCAGGCAAGCAGCCAAACCTCTACATTCAGCCCTTCTCCCCATGATAAGCAGCCTTTGAAAGGCTGAGTGGGACTGAAAATGCAGCTGAGCTGAGAAGCTGCAACTTGCCTTTATTCAGGTTTCACAGCTGTGTAACAAACCTGTGCTGCCTCCCATCCCAAATGACCATCTACACATTTTCCTTGCCCTCCTTCATTCCAGCTGCATCACATTTCAACTGCAGATTTTCAGGGATTTTGGGATGCCACACTGCAGCCTTGCTTCCTTTCCCTTTATCCTGGACCCTTCACTCAGCCCTAGCTCAGCCCCCTCAGCTGCAGCTCCTTTGCTGTAGCAGCTCTGCTGCTCTCCTCCTACCTCCAACTCAGCTGTGCTTTTCCCCTTCTCAGAGTCATTCTGACTTGATGGGCTCCATGGCCATCTGTGAAGAGGCAGAGAAGGCTAACTGAAGGTTTGTACAGTTGTACTACTGAACTAAGGGAACGTGCTCCCATCCTGAAAAAGGAATTTTGTGGAGTGGAACTAGAGAGGATCTAGAAACACATAGAGGTCTGAAAGTGCTTAAATGTAAAAGCAGAAAAGATTAGTCCTTGTCACAATATGTGTACCTGTTCCAATATCAGCCCTGTGTGGCAGGCTGGATCCTGCTCTGGGCAGGATGAGTTCAAGCAGCCTTGTACAGTGTCTCTAATGAATTACCAACTGGTGTGAAAGCGGTTGGCAAGCCATCCCACGCTATCCATCACAGGACAGCTTGGCGGAGACATGGTAGGTGCTGCAGGAGATGATGGGCCCTCTGGCAGCTCTCTGATGCCCAGTGAGAGATACCTAGAAAACAGCCAAAACCCAGCAGACAGCCAGGTCTCCCTCTGGCTGCTGTTGATTAGTGATCCTTTCACCCCATTGAGTTGCATTTAATATTTCAGTTAAGTATTTAATATTTCAGTTGCATTTAATATTTCGTTAATATTGCATTTAATATTTCAGGGTTGTATTCTCCCTTCTTTCCACATATGTCCTGTCTCATGGTGGGGATGCCTGGCTAAACAGCTAGTTTCTACACTGGGCATTTTTAAAACTGGTTGCCAAATGTATCTGTAGAAGTTCTCAGTGTTTTAGCAAGTGAAAATTTAAAGATAAGATTAATCTAGATGGAATTCAGCTGAATTCAGAAACATCCCTCCCCATGTTCATGGAACTGCCTCTGGAAAATGAAGGATGAATTTGAGACCTGTTGCTTTGCTGGGGTATGAATCTACTTAACTATTATTTGTCCTCCAGAGAGTACAATATCTATGGGAAGAGTGGCTTTGGAGAATTTAGAGAAGGAGGGCAGGATGCTAGAATACCTGCTTTGAGTGTGACCTTGGCTTAGGTCTGTCCATGAACAGCTCTGTGTTTCAGTGACTACGTTTGTAGAATGATCTGTGAAGTCTAGTTGGGAGCTCAGAGAAAGCTGCTTGCAGCCCCAGGGATAACTACACCCTTCCCTGCTTTACTTCTAAATGGAGCATTTGACACTGCCTGCTTCCCATCTGACTGCTTTTCTTTTTCTTTGGCTTAGTTACTGCAGGAACCACGCTTGGCATCAATGGAGCCATGGAGCTGCTTTTCAAAGTCATCACTCCCTACAGCAAGAGACACATCAGGACAGTCAGGTAGGCAGTAGCCCCCAAAGGAACTCATCTTTTCAGGCCAGCAAGAAACAAAATTTTGGCAAAGAAATCAGAAATGAATGTATAACTGTAACTCACTTTAAATCTGCAGGTTTTTTTTTTTAACAGGCAGAAATAGTTTCCTGAAATACATGCTGTTGCTGTGATTCATCATGTGATGGTGGCCATTTGGACTTTACCCTATAGAGGGATGAGAGTCTTATTCCAAAGTATTGCCTTTCATTTTCCAGTCAGGATGGAATTTTAAGAAGTACCTCTCCGAAACCTACTAGCTGGTTTTGTCTGCCCCTTCGCGAGAGCCTCCTGCCAACAGTGGTCCCAGGAGGGGGTACAGTGGATTTGTGGCCAATTCTGTGCCTTCCTTCTCCTGTAGAGAGTCGTGACTAGGTCATTATGATACTTTTGAAGTGTGAGAGTTCGTGCTAATGTTAATCTGGGTCTGTCTTTAAGCCAAATCCAAATATTTCAAGTATTTTTTTTTTCCTAAAGAGAACAAGTCTACTTTATATCTCCTGCTTAAAGCTGAATGTTAGCCTTGAAGATTTCCTTCCTGGCCCTGTCCCCACTTGCCTTCAAGGCAAATTTTATAACATAAAAAACAAGAGGATTTGCAAAAGGACAAAACAAAAACACATGCAGAAATACAAAACACATATGTGACTTGCTTAAAACAAACAGTGTCAAGAACTTAACTGCTCTGACCTGTGACCATGCAACCACATTGGATTAAGTAACATAGAACCTGCCAGTTCCCCTCCTTGGGCATGTGCTTCCTTATGGTGCCTCAGTGTGTACTTGTTCAAGTGTGTTTCAACAGGACATAGCAGCTCTCAGGTACTGCTTCTGCCTGGACTGGACATGGGTCCAGTTCATGGTTTGTGAAGTGATTATAGGTCGGGCATGGTGTGTACCTGAGAAGCAGATGGACAGACATGGCACAAAAGTTTTATTTCCTCCTTATCTATGATCAAGGTATTGGCCGAAGTCCCTGAGTGAGCACACTGGTAAATCATGTCCTCTTGTTGCTGGCAAAGACAAATAACCAGTTCTTCCAACATGGCCAGTTACACAATACATTACATGAAAAAGAATTCATGTAACTTTCCACTAACTGCAAATGCTGAACTTTTACCTCAACATGTAGTGCTATAATTTGCTAAATGCAGAATTCTTCCAGAACTTCTGCCTCTATGTCTGAGGTTATAAAAAACCACACACACAAAAGAGCAGTTTGCCTTGCTAATAAGATAATGCGTGGGCCCAGCAGATGCATAACTTCATGCAGCTGCCTTGTTAATGGAAGCCAGCTCATTTTTGCCTGCATTTTTGGCTTTCCAGTATAGTACTAAGTACATGCAACAACTTCACAGCTTCAGCTCTGTGGTCTGTCCAAAAATATGACATCAGGATGTTTGCTGCAGAGAGTTTTGATATCACCCAACTCAAAGAATATTATCCCTATATTCCTGGGATATCTGAGTGCTCTCCAAGATTCCCCTCAGGCCTCACGTTAATCTTTAAGACTTGTGGAGTGTGGAGAGCTGCTTTATATGAAGCAGGGATACCCAAGATGAGTTAGTTCCAGAGCCCTGGCCTTGACTTGCTGGGCAACTGGAAGTGAGTGATGGCTCTATGCCTGTGCTTAACTAAGCAGGCAAATTCCACTCGCTTTCCTGGTCACCCTCCTACTGAAATGCTTAGCTGTGATTAGAGTAGTGTTTGTTCTACTTGTGTGGTTGTCTCCTAGGTCAAGGTCTGGGCGTGATAGGTCTGGGGCCTGTACTAGGTCTCCTTTGCATTAAGGAATGAGATGGGCCATATGAAGGCTTCTTTAATGAGGCTTCTGTGCATAGTTTCTTTTTCCATTCCCTGCTTTCCCATGTTGAGAGCTCGGTATCTGTCACACACTTCTAAACCATCTTCTTACTGAGATTCATTTGGAGGTACAGCTGGTGCTGCTGAGTGTTGTCGTGATAGAGTCTGCAAAGCCATCTAGAATTATCAGCATAATGTACTTCTGAAAAGCATACTGATTTCAGTGATTCTACACTGTGCACTTACAATACCTGCTTTTTGTTTCCTTTTATCCTGTGTGCTAGAATTGTTTTGAGCTCGCCTGTGAATATTTTGTGTGAGAGGAGAAGGGAAGGTTGAAAATATGACCTCAATTTCCCTCAGTAAAACTCTAGTCTTGCCAAAAGCTTGGATATGGTTTCCATTTGGAAAAAGAAAAGTCTTTTAAAGCATTAATTGGTGACTACTTAAGCTTGCTCACTGCTAGTTGAGTTTCCTAATTCTCTTTTTCTCCTAAAATTTTGGGACTCTAGTAATGCATTTGCAGGCCATCATGGGGAAGAGAATTCTTCCTGGGAGCTAGCTCAAAGAAAAAGGTGATTTGTCTCCTACCTACACCTGCAAAAGCCCTAGATCAGCTGAAGCCTGGTAGCTGACTTGCTGACTAGCACAGGCTTCAGAGCTGCTCGTTTCATTTAATAATGAGGAGCTGCTGAGAAAGCTCAGTGCAGACGGTCTGTTTTATGCCAGAAGTAGCACTGTGGACTTTAACACAAACCTGTTCTGATTTAAAAAGCTCTTGAAACCTATTTAAAGGCCCTATTTTCCTCTTATTATTTGGTGAGGAGTGTGCTTGCTTGCAGTCCATTTAGAAACAGTGCTTTCCCTGTTCCATACAGGGGGAAAATGTCCTCAAAAGATGTCACTGACAGGAATTTAGGTCCTGAGACTGGAAGTCCAGACTGGAGGGCGGGTTGCAGATCTTCTTTCTCCTCATTAACAAATGCCTGAGCTACACATGGTCTGAAAATCCCAGGCATCTCTCCAGTTCATCAGAAAATGGAGGCGGGGAAGTGTGAAAATGACCTTCTATTTTTTGACTAGCCCTAGCTAAAAATTCGTAGGGTGGCTGGAAAAGGGATGAATGGGTTTTCTGAGATGGGGAAGAAGGTAAAGGGGGCATGTGCCTTGTCTAGTCCAGTATGTGCTCTGGTCATCCAACGGGTTGCAAAGCCCTTCCCAGAGAAATCCGGAGTGAGTTATTCTGGTGTAGTCAGTCATAAAAGCATAAGCTAATTTTTGGCATATGCTTTTTGGCTACAAATATGGAACCTAAAGAACATTAGTCTAACTTGCTTATGGAGAAAATCTATCTTGCAGTGTCTTCCCCACAAATCACTGGTCATCCCTTTGTATTTGCCCTTGATATCTTCTCTCCAGTTTATAACTATGTGCCACCATGACTTGCCTTGCTGCTGGGAAGGAACAGCCAGCAACTGTGGGGGCTGAGATTATCCTTGTTCTTTCATCAGTTGCCAGGAATGCAGCATTGAAAATGCACCACTTCTCTTGTGGATACACCCGCATTCTCCAGTCCTAGGCCCCAGCAAGACCAAGGTCACTTTAAGAATCTGCCCTGCAGAGTGCACTATCAGAGCTATTTATTTAGCCAGCTAAGATGTGGAAACAAGATACATAGTTCTATTTTTCCCAGTGGCAAAGCCCTGGGTTATTTAGAAACAGTCTCCCAAGCTCTGATTGACCTTATCTGGGTATATGCCAAGTAGCTCTGATTCCCCCGAGACTGTGACTCATGAACTTTATTGGTCTTCTTTAGGCATTTGAGGTCTTCAGGTCATTGGTGCCATAGCTGTGTGAATGTCTCCAGGAAGGCCCATAGCAGAAGAAAATGCCATATGAAAAAAGATGAAACTCATGGGGGCTTTAAGAACTCCGAGTTGAGCACTGTGAAATCCAGTTGAGACAGGCACTTTCTGTAGACTGCCCTGCCTGTCTTATATGGAGCTGTGCCTCTGAGAAAGTTCTTTGGTATATTTTATAGGGTCAGCTTAAACTAAAGCCAGTTGATGTTCCATTTTTCTCAGTTCCATTCATGTGAATAGCGGGGATATCCAAAGCAAGTGTATGGGAGGGGGAACACACATCTGTCCACCAAGCTCTCCTCTAATGCAGCATTACTGATGCCTCACACAGTTCAGTGACCGCTGCTCTTTCACATTCCACCTTACCTGGTCACTGCATGCTCCATGTGTCCTATCCTCTCCAGGTTTCACTACCCTTGCTTATCTTTTCTACTTTTTCTGAGAGACTTTGGGGATGTGTTGTGGATAGCTGGATCAAGTTTGACAGATGTGTGCTCTCTTGCCAAGCAGGAGCTGGGTCTCTTCTTCAAGGCTACATTTTGTGAATGGCTCCTTTTTGTGAATATTCACAGAACTTGGCTTTCTGCATGGGATTGTTCCAATAACACTTGACTACTTAATTAAAAGCGG